TGGACAGGCGTGCAGAGCTGACGTGACAGTAGGTCCCAAGTCCATTCTAGGACGAGCCTTGTCAGCTGTGGGGAGAGAAACACCTTGAGTGCCTCCGGGACCCGGAAACCCAGGGACAGACACGCAAGGGGGCTTTCCCAAGAGACCACATGCCCTCCTACCCAGCCAGAGCCCGGATCCCCACCACCACACCAAGGGCCTCGGCACCATTCCTGCCGGCTGGTAAAGGACCCCACAGTCTGCAGCCACCAGGCTTCTGACCAACGAGGGAGACCTGCGGTGGGGGAGGGGGTGGGAACCACCGTTAGCCCGAGTCTGGGCCCCACAGAAAACCGCCACCGCATCGGGAGGGAAGGAAACAAGCTCCTAATAAGTAGGGGCCAGACTGGCCCAGAAATGAGGGCCCCATCAGCACCGGGGGGCCAGCCACGCATGCACCCAGATGCTCTGCTCGGGCCTGCGAGCTCTCGGGAACGCCAAGAGGGGGGCACGTCACCACGCAGGCGCCGACCATCCTTCCTTGCCGGTTGACAGCCGGGTGCTGAGCGAGGTCGATGGAAGCTGCTAGAAACCCTCGGGGAACCAGCAAGGGTCGCAGCACGGCGGCCTCTCCCGGACGCGAGTTTCAGAAAGAAGGTGCCGCCTTCATCCCCGCGCTGGCTAGCGTGACGTGCCGTGCGCGGGGAGATCCTGCTCATGGTCCAACAAAACCAGCAAGCGACGCGCAGCACAGGACGTTTCCACCGCATTAACAGCCTAATGTGCTCAACCTCGGAAAGCGGGGCCCCAGCAAGAAGACCCCCGGCCGCCGGGCCAGACGGCATTCCAGACGCGCTGGAAGCTTCCATGAACGCAGCAGCAGGAGGGGCACACCCAGGCTTGTCCACCGGCAACGGCACAGTAGTAACAGGACACCACGGCCGGAAACTGCCAGAAAGGAAGCTATTGATGAATCTGACCACGTGAAAATTAAATACATCCGTACCCAAAACCCTAGCAGCACTGCAAGACAGGCGGCACACGTGCGCGGGGGTGGGGAGGGGCCATCTGGGGTACAGCTTTGTAGACAGGGCAAAGGCACGGGGCGCCACGGTCCCCGCAGGAAGCACGGGCTCGAGTGGGCGCCAGTAATCCACAGAGACAGACGCCCAACGTGAGAAGCAAAGAGACCCTAGGTCCCACCAGTAGCCAGAGAAACTCAAAGTATCCGTATAATCCTTTTACCTTCCAGACGATTAGAAATTTAAAATATCGCTAGCAGCCAGGGCTGGTGGGGGTTCAGGGAAGCCTGAACGTGCCCGGAATGAGCAATGGCTGGCTCTGCGTCCCCACCACTCCGCGCTCTGCCCTCCGTGCCCCTCACCTGGGCCCCTCCCTGTCTGCTGCCAGTCCCCCTTACGTCCCCATGGGTCTGGGTACCCTGCACACAGCAGCCACATCCTCGGGGGCCGTCACGGAAGGCACACCCAGGACAGCCCCCGGCGCACAGAGGGACAGTTTCCTAAGGACGCCAGCGGGTCAGCTGTGTCACGATGCCTTCCATGGACACAACTCGGGGGCGGCAAGGTCTTCCATACCTGCAGGACCCTGAACCCTGCTCATTGCTTGGTTGTTTGTGATATTCAGGAAAGTAGAAACACCCCAGGGTCCCACGGCAGGAAAGGAAGGAAGCAGAGAACGTCACGTCTACACCAAGGAAGGCTGAAGGGCAGGGACTCAGCCCTGGCCACTGGTCAGAACCACCAGCCTGACAAGATACGGGTGCGGAGCTCCACCCCCAGGGGGAATTCCTGGGGGGCGGGGACCAGGCAGCCACAGTTTTAGGGGCGCCATGGAGTGGAGCTCCCAGCCGGGTCCAAGGGCTTCTCGTGTGAACCCAGCCAGCACATGCTACGGATCCAGCAGATGCTGGCAGCACCCACTAAGTAAAAAAGCAGGTTACGACCAAACCACGTATGGAACGCGATCCATTCCTGCATCAAAGGAAAAAAGTGTGTTTCTCCATGGCTGGAAGTGTGAGAACGTTCCTAGAGCAAAGCCGCAGAAGACGCTCACTGATACGTTCACTGCAGAGTCTTGGTGCTAACCCTATGCGTCTGGACCCTCCTATTTAGGACAATTTTAGGAAAAACAGGAAAGCATGCACATGTATACATCTTCATGCTTCTGTAATTAGGAATAAACAAAGGATTTGTTTATTTATTTATTTTTACATTTTAAGAAAGGTGACTTGAGAATCTGGTGGCCTCCCGCCCTGGCATGCTGTCCACCCACCCAACAGACCCAGGCCAGGTATATGTGGCCTTCAAGGGCTCCCTTATTCCCAGTTCTTTCTCGGGGAGCAAACCTCACGGTAATTAGTCACCCCAACTAGGAAGCTAACGTCACTGGGGTTTGAGTGCTGATCATGACTACGGAAAAGGGTGGGCGCCCCAGCCTCATGCCACACGGGACGCCGAGACCATGACACACGAAGGGGCTCACACAGGAGTGCGGCTCCAGGGCAGGGCTGCCAAGGCAGGGCAGGTCCCCAGGCAGGCTCAGATCCACAGTTCCCAGAAGTCGGCGAGGGATGGGAGTGGAGGAGGCGTCAGCGAGAGTGGGGAAAGGTGCCCTGGTTCCAGCGTGAGACAGAGACGAAGAGACCGCACCACGCCCGGGCCCCGCCAAGCAAGCACGGGCTCTAGACCCCGCGGGACTGACAGGGACGAGGACACTTGTCCATCACAACCACACTTTTCAGCTGGGATTTACCTGGTGCTCTGTGAAACTGCCCTTCTTTTACCCTTTTCTCTGCATACCGAACTTGATATATTAATTGAGAGTTTTAATCCAAAAAATTCATCAGAAGGTCTTCCGTCGCCATAGCAACTGTGCAGTCCCAGTAAATGCTCCTCTCCGGCACCGGCACCAGCGCCGTGCTGTGGCCTCTTCAAGCCAGCTTGACAGTGACAGTAGCAGGAGAAATGCGACCCCTGGCTGGAGGAGCTGGGGGGGGGGGGTACTTCACACTGGGCCCGGAAAGGAGCTGGGGCTCAGGGAACGCCGCCTGCCTCCCTGACTCTCCCTCCTCCGCCCCAAACCCCATTCTTTTCCTCTGAATAAACCCACGGCCCTCCACAAGTCTGTGCCGGGATGCTTGAGCCGTAGCGCCCCGACATGACACGCACACGTGGGACAAAGCACCGTCTAGACCGACAAAGCCCATGGCTGCTGAGCCCAATCTCACCACGCAAAGCCTGGAGGAGTCCCAACGGGGCGTTCAATTTGGGGATGTGGCCGCCGTGCCAAGGGATGAGCGAGTAACTGATGGTCACGTGTGCCAGAGAGCGAGCACCTGTAGCCAGAGTCAGCCCCCACTCCCCCACGCCCGGAGCGGCTGCTGCCTCCGCCGTCCTACTCCAGGCCCATACAGGGGTGGGGGGATGTGCTGAAGAATTCCCAAATCAGATTGTGAGCAGTATCAACAGAGTCTGTGCTCTTTTTGCCTTTTTAATCATCATTGAAATCTGAGCCATAAATACACCGTGAGCAAATAGAAAAATCCCACGTTAAAAAGCTGAAGGCAGCCGCGTGCGACATCGATTTCTCTATCTCCACGTTCTCTGCCTCAGAGAGCACAAGGCTAAGACATGGAAAGACTGGCCAGTTCTTGGCTGACGCCAGCAAGCGCTGAACTCAGATGCGTCTCTCAGACATTTTCTCATCACGCAGCCAGAGAAGCTAAACATCAGTCTGCTTCCCGATCAGTTCCTAATGCACCCTGGTCTTTCTTTACTCGGAATATTTATGTTCAAACAAAAATGCATAACATAGGAAACAGTCACAGCACTGAGTTCTGCTTCCCCAGAGCTCAGAACACAATGACAGGCAGACCCAGGACACCCTGGACTGACGTGCTGGGTCACAGATGCTCCTCCCTACTGACCGTGGCCAAGCTGAGCAGCCCAGCACCCTCTGGGCAGCCCAAGGCAGCCTCTCCATTGCACCAGTGACCCCCCAGGCATGGCACATTCACCAGCACTGGCCTGCGGTCAGACTACTGTGATTTCCTATCAGGTTTAAATTATTCATCAGTATAAATAGCTTGGCCCCCTGTGTGGAGCTGTGGTCTAAAATTATAAAAGACCCATCATACCTTTGCAGGCTGCCTACAGATGAAAAATGCATATTTCAACTATTTTAAGAAAATGTCAAAAAAACATCAAATGTGTCATCCTTGTACCATTTAAATTATCTGCACGACATCTGTAGAAAAGAGCTGTATGTTTGCGGGTGAATATATGCCAGGGCCAGGGCCCCAGAGGCGGACCCTCCCTGCCGGTGGTTGCCACGTCCACGGTGGCCCGTCACTGTCTTCTGGAGGCGCCTGCCTCCTCCAGGCCACTCCAGAGATGCGGGTGGGTGGTCTGGGTCAGGCCTCTCCCTGCCGGAGGACCCGAGATGAAGTTCTCAAAGGGAGTTCCCAAAGGGCAGGTCTCTCTGCACAAAAGCAAAGCCATCTCCACCGCACATCTGAGCCCCTGCGGGGAGCGCGACACACCGTTCTGCAGACCGAGAGCTCCCAGGGCGGGGGCCGGGCCACCTGTGGGCGCGCATCTCTCTTCAGAAGCGGGCACGCCGCGGAGCAGAGCAGACCGGCCGCGCGCGCCCCGACAGGAGCACGAACGCAGGCGGCCGCGGTGGGCAGCTAAGGCCGGACCACTCTGGCCACGGACCCTCACCCGGCAGGGCGGGCCGCCGCCTACTCCCGCACGCTGCGCCGCCGCCGGACACGGAGGACGCAGGCGGGAGCCCCGGCGCGCGTGGGCACCGCACGCACCGCCCGCGAGTTTCCTGGGAAACCGAGACGCCCCGGGACGCCCCCCCACCCCCACCCCGGCGGGTCGCGGCGTCCGGACGCGAGGAAATGCTGCGGCCGCGGCGCCCCTGCGAGAGCGCCGCGGGCCCCCGCGCTGTCCCCGGAGCGGCCCGGGGCCCCCGCCTGCGGCCGCACTCACCGTCCTCCTTGTCGTCAAACACCGGCCTCCGCGCCGCGGCCGCCGACATGGACGAGCCCATCCGCTTCTTCCACTTGCTCCACGGGAACAGGGGGCGCGGCTGCGCGCGGGCATCGCCCGCGTCCCGGGCCCGGGGCTGGCCGGCGGCGGGCGGCGGCGGGGCCGGGGTCGCGTCGGGTCCGGAGGGGCGCGCGCGGCTGGGGGGCGGCGAGCCCGGGGGCGCCGCCGCGCTGCTGCCCCTGCGCTCCGCGCCGCTCCTCATGGCCGGACCTGGGTGCGCGGCGCGGCCGGAGCCGGGGACATGGCCCGCCCGCCGTGCGCGGAGCGGGAGCGGGAGCGGGAGCGGGAGCGGGAGCGGGAGCGGGAGCGGCTGGCAGCGCTCGCAGTGCTCCCCGGCCTCGGCGCTGGCGGGTCCTGGCTGCGGGGCCGGTGCCGCCGACTGCCCGCGCGCGGGGGCGGGGCCGGGGCGGGGCCGAGCGCCGGGGGCGGAGTTGGGGCGGGGCCGAGCGCCGGGGACGGGGCGGGGCGGGACGGGGCGGGGCGGGGCGGAGACCCGGCGGGAAGGCGCGGGGGTCCCACCGCCCACCTGGAGGGGGCTGGTCCGCACCGACACCGGGGCCGCAGCTCCGACTAGGAGGCGGAGACAAGAGCGAGGGAGGGAAGGGCACGATTTCCTCCGGGCATCATGGCGACCCCAAGGGATGGGAAGGGCGTTGGAGACTCAGGGCCCCCCTTGGGTCGCCCCGCGCCCACGGCCTTCGCGAACAAAGCCGGATGCGGGGCGGCCTTCAACTTTATCCTGCGGCTCTGCGCTTCGCGAGGCCGCGCGCCGGGCCGGGAGAGGGGCGCGGGGAAATGGCCGCGCGGAGGCCAAGGCTGGGCTGGGGTCGGCGCGTGCGGGCGGGTAGTCCCGGCCGGATGCCCAGCGCGCCCTGCGGCTGCGCCCGGGGAGGGACGAGGCGGGGCGGGCCCTCCGCGGGGAGCCGGGCTGCGGGAGCGCGCACACTCACGCTCTCGTGCACCCGCGCTGCCGGGGTCTCCGTGGCTGGGTCCCTCGGGTCCTGCCAGTGAGGCCGCCGGACCCCGAGCCGGAGCGGGAGCCCCTGGTCCGGGTACACGCCGCCGGCCCTCCCAGGAGCCGTGCGTCCGCGTTGACCAGAGTCCGCTGGCCCGGCCCGGGTCCGACAGGGGCCTCGGCGCGGGCCGCTGGATCCTCCACGGCCTTCGCGGCGTGTTTGGGGGGGGCGCGAGGTGCGGTTTGACCTCTGTGAGCCTGCCCCGCCCCTGCTCGCAAGGCCGCGGGAAACCGCGGGAGCAAAGCGCTCAGCACAGCCGCGGTCCCAGGAGACGCCTTCCGCATGGCCTGGCTCCCTGCGCCTAGACCTCGTCACTGAAGACTCTCTTGTGGAAGCCTTAAATTCTACCCCGCAGGCAGGCCCAGAGCCGGGCGTTGCTTCCTCCCGCCCCCGCCGCCGCCCGGTGAAATCCTGGAAGGGCCTCCTGCTTCCCCGCGGCGACAGCGGATCCCTGTCCCTGAGGATCTCCCACGCCGCGGACCCCCCTTCCATGCACACCCTTCCCCCACCCTGGGCTCTGCCCTGACCTCACAGCCCCTCTCCTGGCTGGAGCCCTCACCCCGGCTCACGGTATGCTCCGTCCCGGTGGGCCCCCCGACGGTTTCTTTTCATGGAAAGCTATGCTCACCCCACCTTCCAAATTCCGTGTGGCTCCTTGACTTGCTTGACCTGGGAGATGTGAGCAGAGGTGATCTTTTATTTCTGGGCCAGTGTTGGCCTGGCTAAGAGGGAGCCCGCGTCACTGGGACCACCTGCAGACCAGCCTCAGACATGCGAGGTAAGCCGTCCGGAGGGGAGCAGTTACTTTGATGGGAGCAGAACCTAGGTTAGTGCCACTGACCATCTACCCACTGCCTGGCCCGACACCTGCTCATACCCTGTCTGGACACGAAAGCCTCCCAGATTGGGCTCAGCCTCCCGCCCGGGAGCTCCAGCCAGCAGCTCTGGTCCAGGGCTCCCGTGCACAGTTGCGATTTGCCAGTCGCGGGTGCTGACAGAGCAGGTGCCCTGCAGGAATTCATCCTGCGGGAGCAAAAGCAGAAATGTGTTTGGGGGGGCAGTGAGGCGGGGGCTATGTTTGGAGCCTCTGTCACCCAGGGCTGCACATCAGAATTCCCCCAAACCCACAGCAGTCTCGCTCAGCTTGTCCAGTGTGGACTGACCACGCTTCATGTCCTCTCCTTCCCAGACCGTCTAGACGGGCAAAAACAAAATAAAAAGGTATAACCAACCCCCTTGCCCCCTAGAGGAAACAAAAGACAAGATTTTATTTTTTTTAAAGATTTTATTTATTTGAGAGAGAGAATGAGCCATAGGGAGAGGCAAAGGGGGAGAGAGAGAAGCAGATTCCCTGCTGAGCAGGACCTAGAGACCATGACCTGAGCCGAAGTCAGATGTCCAACCAACCTCACCACCCAGGCACTCTAAGACAAAACTTTAGAAAGAAAAAATATATTAATGGGTTCAGAAAGCAGTTGGAAAATTTACAGGGGCCATTGGAGAGCCTGAGGGCTTGTAGGTAACAGGGAGCACAAGGGGCAGGGCCACTGAGGGGCCGGGGGGGGCGGTGAGAGGAGCAGAGGAGCCACAGGGTGACCTCCAGCAGCAGGCAGTTGGGCATGGATAGTCCTTCTCCGGAAGTGACCACGACTCTTGTCTCACAGGCACCAGGCTCAACGCAAGATAGCGAGGGGACCAGCAGAGATGAGTGGGGACATCTGCACACTGAACTAGGAGCCCCAAATGCCCAACCAGGCACTCGCCCCAGGGTCAAGACACGGGAAGAATCCCCTCAGAGACACTGAGCGCCTCTCAGGAGACCCCTGTGCCCCAGGGTGGTGGGTCCCTCACCGGCCCCAGCAGAAATGAGCAGGAACCAGCTCTTACCAGGGGCCTGTAGCTGGCCTCGGGGCTCAGGCCACGGCTCGGTCCGGGAGACCCCCTGTGCCTGGCCATGGCGCAGGGTCCCAGGAAGGCCAAGGATCGGATATATATGCAAGCTGGAGCAGGTACACAGAGGGGACAGGAGAGAGGGGACAGGAGACAGAAAGCTTAGGCGCTGCCTCACCTGCGGGCAGACCAGATGGCTGCAGCCACAAAGGTGACCATGGAGTTCAGGGGAGGCTGGAACAGGGGCCACCTGTGAGTGGAAAGGGGGCAGTGAGGCCAACAGTGTCCCTGGGCACCACTGCTGCTAACACTGGTCAGGAACAGAAGCTAGCTTAGGGCTAGCTGTCCCGTCCCGGTGACGGGGTACCACCAAGGACTCAGTACCAGATAAACACGCCTACCACATCAAGCATGCAGGAGCGCACCCGGGATCGTGGGTGGCGAACGATAACGGGGTCACTTCATGGGGTGGCTGGGCAGGGTTCTGAGAGTTGAGCACATACCAGCAGCCCTCTGAAGGCCTGTGGCCCGGAGCCGAGGACGCTGGCCCCGAGGTGGGAACAAGCCGGCGTGCAAGCAAAGGAGGGGCCCGGGTCACTGGGGGACAGTGAGTGCCCCTGAGACAGGGAACGCAGAACAGCTGGGACTCAATTTTGTATTCGAGAATCAGTCTCTGAAGCCCAAGCACAAGTGTGCCTTGGTCTCTAATTTGTCCAAAAAAGCACTGAGTCGAGCGGTCACATAACTGGGACCTAGCACTGCCTCCAGTTCTCAGGCAGGTTTCGTCTGAGGTCACCGTTGTGACATTGACACTTGCCCGCATCTTCGGGAACAGCCCTTTGATCAAACTCCACTCAGACCGCCTGACTCGCCTGTGCGGTTTCCGGCTGGGGGGGGGGGGGTAACCGAGGGGCCCCGGGAAACGGGGGGCAGGAGCTCGACGGGATTCCAGTCCTGGCGCTTCCCCGTGTGCAGGGCCCAGAGCGAGCCTCCTCCCTGGCAGGAAGTGGAAACCAGGGGCCATCAGCCCTGGAGCTGCCGGGGGGAGGAAGGCAGGGCCTTGGGAATTCGAGTGCTGGGACCACTGGCTGCCGGTGACAGGGCTGGTTCTGGAGGTCCGGAGGCTCCGAAGACTCCGGAGAATAATGAGACGGAGGAGGAGCCGCACCGCGTCCCAGACAGGCCCCTCCACTGCAGTGCTAGGTCCAAAGTGGAGGCAGCTCAGTCAAGATTTCTTCCACTTTATAACCAGGTTCGCTTTTCCTCTGGTTTGCATAGCACGTTCCTGGTTTTCATCCCAGACCTCGCCGCCTCACCCCCTTTAACACACACACGTCCACCCACACCGTGGTCGTGGTGAAGTGTGTGTCCCCTAAGATAACAGCCCTTACTTCCTTCTGAGCTCCCCCCAGCCGACCTCAAGGAGCCATATTTCCACTGTCTGTCCACGCATTCCGGCTGGTTGCTGAGACCCTCCAGATCATGCAGGGGGACCTGCTTGGTTTAAACTCAGCTGATGGCAGATGCCGGCCACCTCTCCGTAGCACAGGTCGCCACACATCTTCACAGTAGCCCCTGGCTTAGCACTCGGTTAAATAGCTCCAAGCCTAGTTGACACCTAAAATGAACCATGACAGCTGTGTTAGAGTGCGGTGGGAGGAAGAGGGACAGTGAGAGTCAGATGGGGACATCTGGGCAGACATAGCTGAGGTGGAGAACGTTGAACCCCAAAATGTCCTGGAGCCTCCCTTACTGGCAGGAGCAACCCTTCCTTCCCTCCCCCTGTGCACAGAAGCTACTGGGTGGTTGCACCTGTGACAGGTGTGTCTCAAGCTGACACCAACTGTTTTCAAGCACCCCCCTTCACACCGCCCATTGCCCAAAGGCCCCTAAGAGTCAGACGGTCAGATGGTCAGGAGACCCCGGAGCACCGATGGACAAGTACAAAGACTGCTCCTGGGAGACAGACCCTTCTGCAGAGAGAGAGAGAAAAGCTCCCCGCTCTGCAGCCAGGAGCAGCCGTCAGAGCTGAGTCTAGAGGCGTGGGCCCAGGGAGGAGGGAGGCAGGCTCCGGAGGGCCAAACCCACTGGCCCGGCTGCACCGACCGGGTTTTGACACGCAGGTCTGAGCACCTGGAGGCAGCTTTGATCGCCACCGTGAGGGCGGCAGGACCTCTGCGGGTCCTCCGCAGTCAGCCTGTGCAAGGACAACAGCTGTGGCCCCCGGAGGGCTCCGAGAATGGAGACTCTCAGGCCCCACCCAAACCTGTGTCAGAGTAGTCACTTTAAAAATCTGCATTTTAAGTGTGAATGTCTTCACATTAAAGTTTGAGAAGCATGGCCTAAAGAAGGAGGTTAACAGCTC